CACTAGTGGCTCATGCTTGTAATCGTAGCTACTCAGAAGACTGAAATCTGAGGACTGCAGTGTAGCCAGCCAAGGCAGGAAAGTCTATGAGATTCTTATTTCCAATTGCCACCAGAAAAGGAGAAGTAGAGCTGTAGCTCAAGTGGTACAGCATTAGCCTTGAGCACAGTGTCCTGGCCCTGAGTTCAAGTCCCATGACTGATTAAATAAATAAATAAGCAAATAAAGAAATAATCAATGATCGAATTTCCATTTGTAAGAACTACCTGTTGTGTCCCGATACGGGATTTTTTATGCTATCCAAAAATGTCCTAAAATAGTAAATACCAATGAATAAACTTTCCTGGTAAAATTTGATTTACTAAAGCATTATTTATTTTAACTACTTGGCACAGAAGCTATAGTTAAATTCCCACATTTCTTTTAATCTATTTTCTAAAGGGCCTGAACACAGTTTCACTTAATGGAATTATTTCAAACTATCATGATGATCACCAAAGGAAACAGGGAGTGTCTTAGTCAGAGGCTTTATATTTCAGAGTAATGCAGAGAACTCTCTCAGACTCACCCAACCAGCTGCAACTTCCTCTATGAAGACAATAAGGTAAATACGTCCCAAGTTCTCAACTTGAAGGGTAACCAGACAGACAGACTGAGGAGAGCAATGAAGGAATTGTGGCTACCTCTCTAAATGAGGTGTTAAACTCATAAAACTATCAGAATGGTCTCACCCTATTCGCTGCTTTACTGGTTGGCTTCTCTGTGACTAATTTTAAGCAGCGTCATGAAGAATAGCACAGAGGAGGGTGACGATCACAAATTTTATGTTCCAACTTTTGACAGATAACTAGGGAATTAAGTACAAATCTGGATTCTGTTTTTGCTATGTTCTTATTTAACTCACTGCAGCCTGGAATGTACTGATTCTTGGGAGCAAGATTCAACTCCTTTAATTGTAAAGTGGGATACTCATCGAATTCGAGATTGTTAAAGTTTGCAACTATTTTCTGAAAGAAATGGAAAAAATTCTGAAGATTCTCCTGTAGAGTAGCAACTATCTTTGCAATATCCATTTAACATTGATAAAGATAAAAATTGTACACATTAGTATTTACCCTTCTAATACATATTTTTAATTCAGCAAATAGAAAAGCCTTTCTTCAATAATTTTCTGTGAGCCATGGTTAATTTTCCTTGTACAGTCAGAATTAGCTTAAGGTTAGGTAATATTTTTATAGAGACTTTGAGGCACATCTTATCAATTGTGTAGCAGTAGAGATCCTGAAATATTATCATCAATGGCACATTTTATTAAGTTTGTGTTTTGGTTGGTTTTTATGTGTTTTCTTTTTAAAGGTCCTTTTCTTTTTATTAGACTTTTCCAACAAAACTTCGGTGAAAATACATTTGTTGTTTTGTTTGTTTGACAGTGTACTGACAATAGAATGGAAAAGTAGAATGTTTCTTAGGCTGAAATACCATAAATTTCCTAAAGGCCACAGGATAAACTACTTACTTGTATATTAAGCTAACTATCTATGCAAGAAACATATAAATATATTTTTGGTAAAATGAAATTTACTCTTTAGTAATTTTGGCTTCAGTTTTTATTTATTCAGGTTTTATTTATGATTAGAAAAGAATTTTCCTTTGTTGTTCTGTCTTTCAATGATATGCTAGCTAATGGAAATCACATCTGGTGGTCTAATATAGCTTATTTTCCTTTTTCAAGTTTTGTAGTTATCTAAATTAAGTTCCAAGTCATTTGGCCCTTACTAGTATTTCTTTGAATATATTTTATTTTTGCTGAAACATTTTCTATATCTATTTAGTTATTTGTTCTTATACAAGTGGCTAAAAAGTAAATCATTATTTTGGTTCCATGTTGATGTTTGTTCATCTGTCACTTGATGGAATTTTAGGGCATCAAGTCATTAATTTACCATTAGATAAAGTTATCTATTTTCTATTAGGACTCAGACTTTATATTAGATGAGACCCTACATTTCAGAAAACTATAGGGCATTGTGCTAAGAACCACAAAACAATTATGTGAAGTAGAACACATTTTTGTCATTTACTTTCAGCATGCATGAACCTGTCTGGAGAAAAGTGTTTAAATGAATGGAATGTAATGCTGTCTATTATTCTGAAAGTTATTTGAGAATTTATAATTGTCTAGGAATGTCTTGGCTCATGTTTTTCTGTAATTATGTTCACTTAGTATTATGTTCCTGCCATAAAATTTATCCTAGGCAAAAAAAAAAAAGATTATGACTCTTGAATGAACAAAATCCTGTGTAGCTCTTCTTCTCTTCAATCTGATGACAGTTTGGTGGAAAGTTACCAAGCAGATCAAAAGTTTAGAAAATGAAGATTTGTGGTTGCCATTTAGATAGTACTTAAAGAATGATGTTGAAAATTAAGAAAGTCATTTTTAACCCTCGGGATAAATTAGTAAAACATAACTTCTAAAGCAACAAGAAGCATTGGGCTTTTTCCAAATAAAAATGTGCTGTAAGATGTGTGTTTGGAGTTTGGGAGATGATAGCATCTAGTAGCTTCCAGACTCCATCGATCTGTTCAAGCAAGTCCCCAAACAAGGTCCTAAAATCTTTCTTTTTCATGGTGCTAGCCCCCTTCATTTTCATGTATTCAAATAGACCCACAATCTTCTACCTAATGATTTTCATTATATATTTTAGAAAGGGTTACTTAGACCTTGCCTATGAAGTTACTTCCTCAAAGCAACTAATTTCACTAGCACAGGATATGGTTTCCACTGATCAACATAAGGCCTTGAAATTTCTTTTGAGGGAAGAAAATCCCGCACACAATTCCTCCAAATTGGCATACATATATTTATGTTATTTTCTTAATACTTTAGTATTTTAGAAGCGAGATTCTTTTTCCACAGTCACTGCCAGCGTGGCTCGGCGTGCAAGGCTGGCCTGTACCTGCTGGCTCCTACCTCAGCCTCAACTTCTGCTGTTCTTCCCCTTGGCTGCTCTGGAGTTTGTCCTGTAGCACCAGTGGCAATGGCCACAGCTCCTGGCTCTGGATTATTTGGATTCGCTATTAAAACAATATAATACTTTTGGAGATTTTTTTATTTTCTTGCTTGACATTGCTGGGGTTTGCACCCAGGGTCTTACACATGCTAAGCAATCTCCCTACCATTGAGCTACATTTCAGGCCCCGAATAAGAACATAGCTATTGTTGTTTTAAGTAAAGATATGTGGTACCTTTTTGGGGAATGCCACCAAGGAATGGGAGTTGCACTGAACCGCAAATGGCTCACCCAGAAAGACTACTAATTTGTGGTCTCTCGGCTCAATGCTCTTCCTGGGCTTGGAATTCCAAAGTGAAGACAATGAAATGCTCTGGAATATGCTTTCTGGAAATGTCTTTTAAGACAGAATAGGTTCTTACCACTTTACAGAGAATAATGAATACAAGATCTTCAATCTATCAAATCTACTAGAACAGCTGTTCCTTAACTTTTTAAGCTCAAGCTTGAATCTGACAAAACTTGAAGACTTACTTTCTATATAGTTTTTTTTTTTTTTTTCGGTCGTGGGGCTTGAACTCTGGGCCTGGGCGCTGTCCTCAGCTCTTCAGCTCAAGGCGAGCGCTCTACCACCTGAGCCACAGCGCCACAAGACTTACTTTCAGCAGTTGTTCTTTGAAATGGACGTATCTCTCTTCTTGGCATCTTCTTTGTTTATTACATTATGTTTTTCCCACCAGAGACTTGTTATAATGGTGTATTCCTTTTATCAGGCAATGGGTTGAAAAGTGTATGGTTTACCCTTGAGTATGCTGTAAAAAGATCATCTCACTGAGCAAGCTTGAACTCAGATGCACAGAGAAATTCAATACTTGGCCCAGATGGCACAGTTATTGGGATGTTGGTTGTCGCTGGCTTTGGGCACCTTGAACACTTCTGATTCCTAGATCTTGTTGCTTGTCATACTCTGTAACATTCAAGGGGGATAAATTTGCATACAGCACTCATGCAAGTTGATGGACTCTGAGGCATCTGTACATGTGATATTGGGACCAATACGTGAAAGACTCATCATTTGTCAGTTCTCAGTAGTTCAAACATGATGTTATCAAGAATTCAAAGAATAGTGTTCTTCCTTAATTCTAAATATGCTACTGCTTTTCTACTAGTGAGCAGAGTTAGTGTTGGCATATCTTGAGCACGTTGACCATACATATGATGATAATCATATTTTTCATACAAAAGGTAGTCATCTATAATAGATATTTAAATATGTATATTATCAGAGTGCATATCTGAATTGCTCAAGAATGTGTACAGTGGAGAAAAGGGTGAGGAAACAAACAATGTGTTAAAGTTTCAAATATTAACACCTTATTAAATCACTATTAGTTTAATATTTTATTAATTTAGAAAACAAAGTTCACAGCACCTTCTGTCATCTGTGCAGTGCTGTAAAAACTTTTGCTCTATTCCAATTGAGAAAGCTGAAATGATTTGAGAACATACACCATTTAGTCCTCATACTGTGGCTTTGAAAACTCAAAGACCTGAAAGTCTAGAAATTTTTCTCAAGGAGAATAAAATATATATCTTTGATATGAATAGGAGAATTTAAGTAGAAATATTTTGCTGAAAAAAATGTGAGAAAATTAGTATATCTCAATATATATGTATACACATATGTGTATATATATTAAGATATATATACATATATATGTATATATATACACCACATATATATGCATATATTCCAGAAAACATTAGTTTTAGACTGCTGATACCAAGGGTGCTGAACCCCAGGAACTTTGTCTTTCTGTCCTATTAGTTATTTATTTCCTGTTACTACACGATTGCTTTCCATGGTGAAGAAATGAAGCTTTTGAATGATCAAAAACCAAATGATTCTAAAGACCACCATAGGCAGAGCAAACGTGCTGTGAAGTAATGTGATTTTCCATCGCCTTCTAGGCTGCAGTCCACTTCACAATGGCCTCCCTTGCTGCAGCAAATGCAGAATTTGGCTTCGACCTGTTCCGGGAGATGGATAGCAATCAAGGAAATGAAAATGTGTTCTTCTCCTCTCTGAGCATCTTGACGGCGCTGGCCCTGGTTCGTTTGGGTGCTCGTGGCGATGGCGCACACCAGATCGATAAGGTCAGTCTCAGCTTTTGCAATCACTCACAGGACAAATCATTTTTACCAATAGTTTTTCAGTGTGGGGTCCCTCTGTCAGTGGAGGATGATGTCAGGGTTGGGGGGGGTCACATCTTAACACATCCTTATGCATCCTGCTTCATGTATGACTGAAACACACAGCTTGCAGTATTTTTGCTCTTTTTGTTTGTTTGTTTTGGGCTAAGGCTCGAACTCAGGGCTTTGTGCATGCTAGGCATGTGCCGTACCATGAAGCTACACACCTGAGACCTTGTTTTTAAACCAGAAGGCAGCAAGACTCCTTGTAGCACTGGAACTTAGATTCTTTTCCTCCATATGGTGGTTCCTGAAGTGTTTTTCCCAGATCCACATTCTCAGCATCACTTGGAAAACTTGTTAGAAATGTAAATGCTTGGCTCCACCCCAGGTCCTCTGAATCAGAAACTATGGGTGTGGGGCCTGAAAACTGGGTTTTCATAAGCTCTCCAGATGTACACAAAGGTTTGAGAACCACTGCCTGGGAAGATGACAGCAGATAGGAGAGCTAGAGAGATACTAGTGATGTCCTAGTTCAGTACTGTTTGGTTTGCGGTTCTAAGTATTGGACCCTTGCACAGGCTAGGCAAGTGAGCTACCACTGAGTTAGCTACACCTCCTGAGCCAAATGTCCTAGTTTAAAGGCTCATGATAAATGGACAGGAATGACATAATAAGAGATACCAGATGACAGGAGACCAGCTGATTAGTCACCATCTCTATCACCTTCTCCCCCATCTTCCAAAAGCATCGTGTGCCTTAACGCAGCTATGTGCATTATAGTGGCCACTGCTTCCTTCTCTCAGGAAATTGCCATGCAAGTCTAGCAACTCAACTGCAATAAGATACTAAGTGCAGGCTGCAGGCAGAGGCTGCTGAGTTATCCTTCTCTTCCCCAGATCCTGCCCATTGTTTTAGTTCATTGATAGGTGCTACGAGCTGGGCCATCTGTAACATGTCACACAATACTTGTCAAAGATTATTTGTGTCGATACATAATAAAAATCCTTCTATTTTCCCTGCATAGCTCAGTGTTCAGTGTGTGTGTTGCAAGGGGGGCATCTTTTGTGTCTTTTTTTTTTTGGTGCTGGTCTTGGGGTTTGAATTCATGACCTGGATGCTGTACCTGAGCTTTTGTGCTCAAGGATAATGTTCTACCACTTGAACCACAGCTCCATTTCCAGATTTTGTGTGTGTGTGTGTGTGTGTGTGTGTGTGCTTATTTGGAGATAATAGTCTCATGGACATTTAAGAAATTATTTTAGTGTTCGCTTCAGCAGCACATACACTAAAATTGGAACTATACAGAGAAGATTAGCATGGCCCCTGCCTAAGGGTGACACGCAAATTCATGAAGCGTTCCATATTTTTTCAAATGTTTTTTCTTTCTTGCGATTGTTTCTAACATATTTATAAGATGATTTCTTTGTTGCTTTGTATGCCCCTCCCCCATGGTATAACCCCTGCTTTCACTGTATTTGATGTGGGTATAATTTGTGGAGGGGAAGGGAAAAAACAAACAGTTTAAACAGGGATACAGGTGGACCCATTGCAACAATGAGATGTGCAAGTCGTTATGTCAAAAAATGAACACAACTTTGGCCGGGGATGAGGGGTGGGAGGGAGATGGGAAGGGATGGTAAAGGGAAACAAAGGAGGAGGATACAATGCTTGATAAGAAATGTACTCATTACCTTGCCCATGTAATTGTAACCCCTCTGTATGGTATTTTCACAATAAAAAATTTTTAAAAATATTTTATTGTCAAGGTGATGTACAAAGGGGTTACAGTTATATATGTAGGGTAGTTCAACAAGCGATGTTCTCATGGACTTTTCTTCCTGGGCTGGCTTTGATCTGCAATCTTCAGATCTCAGCCTCCTGAATAGCTAGGATTACAGGCATGAGCCACTGGTATCTGGCTAGTGCTGTCACTTTTGAAAAAGTGTGCTTGCATTGTCATGGTAGATATTCCTTTAATGGAGGTTGTCTTCTAAAAACAGATCCCTTGAATTAGCCCTAAAATCTACCTATATTCTGCTTGTCATGAATTTTCTTGGCTCATCTCTTAGCTCAGACATTCTCTCAGAAGAGCTAGCTTATTTACTGGATTAATCAAGAATCAGCATCCTGATTCAATAGAGTTCAAAAGAACCACAAAGGCTGCTCACTATTTGGTGAAAGAGTTTATATCTCTCTCTATATATATTTATATTTATAAACTCATCTGGTCAGGCTCATATATTTTTATTTAGCTCTAATAATATTGTCTTTTTGGAGCTAGTTTTAATTCAAGTGTGGAAGTATCACTTCCTCATCTTATTGGAGGGAGAGACTTCTCTTTCCTCTCCTATAACATTTTCATTGAAATACACTGGACCATATTTATATTTTTTCTACATCATGTGTGGACTACAGTTTCATTTAAAAGTTGAACATATTTTAGCTTTCTAAAACACAAATCTATTTTAATGAAAATGCTTGACACTTAGCCATAGCAGATAATTTGATTTTACTATTCTTCAGAAGCAGTAACTTGTGGCATGAGTACATAAAGAGCGTAAAACATGTTTTATACCTTCTCTGTCTTTAATTTTAACCTTCATCCCCATCCTAAAATACTCATATTGCATAGATCCATGATTTTTTTTACCATCATTTGATTGTGTTAACTAGTTATTGGAAAGTGATGAAACTGATTACCTAGGAAATATGAAAGCATAATACTCCTCATACTCCAAGGAATCTGATGGAAAAATTTAGAAATAGAGTACTTGTGATAAGTCCTTTTCCATTTTATTGAATATTTATCACAGATGAATAGTTACTAGTGTCATTATTGCATTTTAGATATGGGATTCTTCCTTGTTGAATCTTAGAAATATTTAGGTAAAAATGAACATGCTTCCCTTTAATAGTGCAGCATTTCAACGTTCTAAAAGCCTGCTAGAAATATTAGAAAATCAACAAATTAATGTCAAAATGGATTAAAATTAGTAATGATCAAAGAATGACACCAGACCTTTATAACTTTAAAACTTCGCTCACGAACTTAAAAGGGAGGTCCACTGAATATTTATGTAACTTTCTTGTATTGCCTAAGTGTACCAAGAGTTAACTCAGAAAAGCTATTTGCATGTTGCAGTCCTAACATCATATCATGGTATTTGTTCTCAAATATCATTCCTTTGTTCTCAATACCATTTGTTCTTAGGTAACAGTGTATTCAATAGTAGCTTTAGGATTTTTTTCTAGAGCTCTGTAGGATCTTTGTTGTTTTTTTTTTTTTTAATTAACTAAGCATCTGCTTTAGGGTAAGTGTTGGCCAAAGAAGGGACTTCTTTCCCCTTCTTAGACTTCATGTCAATTATTTTTGACAAGATTGTCTTTGACAAGCTTTGAGTAAAAGCTTCCAATCTCTGAGGACCAAATAGCAGTCCAATTATGTCTTATAATATATATATATATATATATATATGTATTTATTTATACAAGTTTACAAAGCCATTTATGGTTTATTGAAGACAACATTAAACCATAATCAAAGATAGCTTCCACTGTGTTAGCAGATTTCCATTGGTTAAACTTTTGTTCCTCACTTGTTTCAAAGCACTTCCTACTCTGGGCCATTAGTATTAGGAAGGAAAGGTATGAAGGAATCACTCAAGTTCAAGGCGAGTGCATACCAATGGACCACGGCTTCTCTTCCTCCCCATCTTAAACTGAGATGACTAAGGATAGCAATAAATTCCACTTTTTGTTTTTTTTTTCCATTTTGGGGAACACTGAGAGACAAACTTCAGTTATTTTCTAACCGATATTAAGAAGACACAAGAAATACAAGTACATATTTCATTATATAAAAATTCATGCTTCAAATTTCTCCCTTGTAATAGAAAAATAAATAATAGCATGAAGGGAGCAGGTCCTTGAGCTTTCCTCTCCTAATGGAGTCTCAGTCACAATGAAACCGACTAAAAACTGGAGGCAGGAGAATCTAAATCACCTTGACATATTTCCAGATCCTTCTATCAAGTGGTGTGAGATGACTACTATATTTCTTTAGGACACTGAATGCTGAATTCTTCATGTCCTACACAAGTCAGAACTAAGGAGATAAATGTCACCCAGGTTGATCTGCAAAGTCCAGGCTGTTCCTTGTTGCCTGTAAAGACATTATCTGTGAATGTTAAATAATTACTAAATTTGCATGTGAGATCTGCCTTGTGGACTCTGCCATATCACTCTTTCCATGCCACATTTTATTCCAGACTAACAAGAGGTGGAAATTGAGGATAAGTACAATTCCAGGTAGCCCATTAACTCTAATGGTGACATAGAGCTTGTAAGTTTTCTTACCTCCTCCAGAACCATTCGACTTCAGTCTGTAAAGTGATGCTGTTCATTTTAGGGCTATGAAGCCTTACGATGAAGTTACCGAGACACAGAAAGTAGCATTGGCTGGTTTAATTCAATTTCCACAGAATGTTTAGTCACTTATATGCAGAATGGCCCTCCCCCATCTCAAGTCTCTTCCTTGAAGCTGTGGTCAAATAGAGCACACACGACCCATTAGTAAGGCAAGAAATAACTTCATATAAAATGTAGTTGTGACTCGAAGAGACAATTATATATATTTTTTGAAACAGTCATATCTTGTGTCAACAGAACAAATCTATGACCATCTGTCAATGCTGTAGAACTTTCATCACGGTGGTTGTAGGAGCAGAGTCTGAATGAGTCCATGGCTGTTTCTGGGTCTTATCGATGGACAAGTGGCACATGTTCTCCTTGCCTGTCCTAAGTGGATGTCATCAGGACAGCACATTTTATAGCTTCCTAATTGCTAATTGCATTTTAGATCTCATAGGTTCTAAAGGAATCTAGAAAAAAAAGAATAAATCGACTATAGGAAACATTATTAGAAAAATGAATGGAGAGCCATATGAGAAAAGAAAAAAAGCCTCTTAAACTGCTTCACCTTTCAAATAATGAAAGAATCTTAAATGCCTCTCAATTTCTGACTGAGCTCCACAGTGAATAATTCCTAGATAGTAAATGACTACTTTTCACTACTTGTGTCATGGCGCTTCTGGTAATTTATACTTCTCCTGTCTTCTACTTGATTAAAGACATTTGCAAATCAGCCAATACTGCTCTTATAGCTGTTTATAAATAAAAATATATGAAGCTTTCCAGTGTGATTAGATTGTGGTTATAACATTCTTTTTCTTTAAATTAAAATATATGAAGTGTTCCAGTGTGATTAGATTGTGGCTCTAGCATTCTTTTTCTTTTAAATATAAACCCATCTAACACCAACATCTTCACATTTAAAACACTTAAATTGTTATAAACACTGTGTTGAATTAAAGTAAGAGAGGGCAAGAGTCTTTTGCCATAAGTCACTGGAACATGACCTTAAGTCAAAATCTCTGAGGGCAGGACCGAGCGAGGAGGATGACAGAGTTAATGATAACATTTTGTAAAAAAATGTTTTGGGGAGGAAATATGTCCTGTCAGACATCTTCATTTTCTAATCACAGTCATGGCTGGCATACAGAATGTAGTGCTTAGATTTTCGGAAGTTTCAGTCTGTGATGGCTTGTGCCTGCTGCCTGGGGCCTGTGATGAGGGCCGACATCCTGGGGGGGTGGGGAGGGGAAGAGTGCACAGTGGAGTGAAAGCAGCTCCCTTCATGGCAGCCAGAGAACCGTAATTACAACCCGTGAAGCTGTGACTCCACAAATGGGTTAATCCATTCATCCAGCTAGGAACCTTACACCAAGTTTACTGTCCATGAGCGTGAGCTCTGGGAATCTTTCAGGCCCAAACTAATCCAAATGCATCTGTGTTTGGGCTTACCACTAGGCTGAAGTGTTTCAGTGGAAGCAAAGCTTTATAGCATTGATGTGAACCAACACAAATCCCTGAATCCTGGTGATCCTGAGAGCAGAAAAGGAAGATGTGATGAAAATAAAAGCTAGAACATCTTTCCTAACAGCCCGTCAGTATGCACTTGTAGTCACAGAAGAATTGGAAACTGGGACACTAGTGAACTTGAAAACGAAACACATGTTTTAGGGAAGAAATATTTTTAAATGTTATTTCATTGTAAAGATGCTGTACAGAGAGGGGTTTCATTTACATGAGTAAGGTACACTTCTCACTGAACATTGTTACCCATTCCATTGTTGTATTCCCACTATCCCTTCTTTCCCTCCCTAATTCTCCCCCCACGAAGTTGTAAAGTTCATTTCCAACATAGTGTCCTGTATCATTGTTACAATTGGTTATCTTTCAGCATTTTGTTTATTCCCTTCCCTTTCCCCAATCAGAGAAATGCATATTCAAGATGTAGGGTACCCGAATCAAAGACAGAGATTGCCAGGGATAAACCAATAGAAAAACAAAAATGGAATAAAATAAGAAGAAAGAACTAGATAAAGTGCATTGGTGACATCAAGGTTGACAACTAAAAAAATAAGACCTCTTGTTTCCATATCTTGGAATTCATTTCAATTAGCTTCTTTTAGTATTACGGTCATATGTTCATAGCTCTTGAGCTGTTATGATTCTTTGTCAGGACTGACTTTATGCTTATACTAATCATTGCAAATGAGGGAAACCATGGAGCCTATATTTCTTTGGGCCTAGCTTACTTCACTTAATATGATTTTTTCCAAGTCTTTTCATTTCCTTACAAAAGGGACATCATTCTTTCTGATAGAAGCATAAAATTCCATTGTGTAAACACACCACATTTTTTTGATCCATTTATCTATTGCGGGGCATCTGGGTTGGTTCCATATCTTAGCTATGGTAAATAATTCTGCAGTGAACATTGTTGTGCTGGTAGCTTTAGTGTGGCCTACATTGAGATCATTTAGATAAATGCCCAGAAGTGGGATCACTGGATCATAGGGGAGTTCTATGTTGAGTCTTTTGAGGAACCTCTTAATTTTAAAACCTCTTGCTGACTATTCCCCAGTTCCTCTGAGTCTGATTGCTTTACTTGTGGCCTGTTTGCAGATGCTTTACTTTAACAACCCTTCAAGACAAGGAAACTCTTCTAATAACAAGGTAAACATGATGTGTTCTCTATCTGTTTGTTTTTCTAATGATGTGTTCCTTAAAAAGAAAAAGAAAATGTGAGACTAAATTGAGAAAATGACTGCCTCATGAAGAATTTTAACTGTATTCCTTATATCTTCTAAAAGAGGCTGTTTCAAATTCTCAGATTATAAATTTTTCAAATACAGTTTTGGACAATTTATTAGGTCATATTAATTTATCAGAATTTTGCATGTATACTGGCTAAATATTGGTAAGATGTCACAGAACTAAATGGTCAGCTTTATCCTTCATTCTTCACAGCAAATTTACATTAGTAAAATTATTTCATTGTGTACAAGGAAAGCTCATTGTTTCTTAATAATATTTTAATTCTAAGTTGATTTATTTCAATAAGCTCTTTATCAGATGGGCATTACTCATAAAGCCATTGACTATGTATGCTGCATCTTTGTTGCTTTTGTAATATACCATTATATTCCAATTCTTTTGTAGTAAAATATACATGATTTGTTTCACATGTTAATGAGAGTAAGCATAAATTAATGATAGTAAGGATAAATTTTGGTTCATCTTTTTCTAAACAGCCAGGACTCCAGTCTCAGTTGCACAGAGTTCTCTCTGATATAAATTCATCTCACAAGGATTATGAGCTCAGCATTGCTACTGGTCTTTTTGCAGAACAAGTGTTTGACATTCACAAGGTAGGTGAAGGTGTACATCTTAGAAAAGCTTTTCCATCCTGGACCAGAATCATGTTCTGTCCATTATGTGAATAAAGGCTTTGCCTTTCTACTGAGCCAGACAAAAGGGATCTTTCCTTGATGCTATGAATTGGTTCTCAAAGGTCTTTAAAATTTCCTCACCTCTTCCAAAGATTGACTTCACCCTGAAAAATCTGCGTCTTCAAAAGGGACAGGTTGCAGGGCTCCAAAACAGAGGAGAACTTCTACATTGGCCATGTTGCTAAGTCATAATTGTTAGTGGTAGGATGAGTTATAGGAATTCCAGAACATTGAGGAGAGACCCCAAAGTAAAATGCCTTTGATCTTCCAGTCTGGAGAGTTTGGGGGTGAGCAGATTAACAGTATTTCTCTCTGGTGTTGATTATGACTCTATTTATCAAGGCATTCTGTCTAATCAAAGATCACTTGAGCCTGAGAGGTGTTTTTCAAGCCAACACAGCCAACCTATTCTTTTCCACATACACTGCTAGGACTACCAGAAGCTGCTTACCTGATCAGGACAATTAGCTGCCACAGTGCCCCTGTGTTTATCTGGGCATTTTCTTTCCCTTTTATTTCTCCATACTTCAGACAACTATCTATGGAACTCTATCTCTGTGACATTGCTGGGTTAGTCTCCACCCAGGTCTCTGTGTTCCACCCAGCCATTACTGTTCCCTCTGTTACCCACTCAAATTCTTTGCCCCACCCTACAGCCACTCCCAAACCCGTTGGGACCTTTCCAATTATGAAGCATTAGGCCAGCATTTGTTTTTCAGGCCTCCCAAATGATTTCCACACAAGTTTTACAGAGGGCATCTAAGTATCCTTCACAGCACACTGCTGCACCCGGAGGGACCATGCACTCTTCTACATTGGTATTGACTTGTCTATCATGCTACTTTCGGTGTTTTTCCCCAGTATTGACATTAAACTCAGGGTCTAGTCTTGCTACAGAAATACTTTACCAACTGAGTTTTACACCAGTGCTTATGTCTTTTTTCCTTTCAGTTACGGTCTCTGACTTTTGGCTGGATAGTTGTGGACTCTAATCCTCCTATCTCTGCCTCCTGAGTGCTTGAGATTACAGCATATGCCTAATATGCATCACCATGACCTGGCCCTCATTCTGCTATTCATAGTAGATTTTCATGTTCACGTTGTCTGATACTCATAGTATATAAAAAATAAAAGTAAGAAGTAGCACTATGGCTTCAAGAGGTAGAAGGCTAGCCCTTAAGGAAAAGAGCTCAGGGACAGCACCAGGCCTTGAGTTCAAGTCCCAGGACTGGCCAAAAAAAGAAAGGAGAGAGAGAGAGAGAGAGAGAAAGAAAGAAAGAAAGAAAGAAAAGATGTAGTCAGAAGCACAAAGGGCACAAGAAAGATAAGAACTGATCAAAAACACAGAATGTGAGGAGATTACACATTTTGCCCTCCCAAGCATTTACAAAGGGAATTTTCTATAAAATGACTTTTATTTTAAATATAATTAATAATATCTATACATCATTGTTTAACAGTTTTAGGTATGCAAATATCTAATCTCCTTGGTTAAATTAATTCTTATTGCTTTTTTGTAACAACTAACGAAGGGATTGATTGATTGATTGTTTTCTCGATTTCTTTTTGTTTTCAGAAAGCTTATTGATATGAGTGTTACAATTTTATGTTGATTTTGAATTCTACACCTTGACTAAATTTAGTTTTGGTCTACTGAGGCTTGAAGAAATCAGGGTCTAGGCACTGTCCTGAGCTTTTTCCCTCAAGGCTGGTGCTCTGCCACTTAAGAACATCTCCACTTTTGGCTTTTTGCTGGTTAATTAGAGATAAGAGTCTCATGAACTTTTATTTTTTTTGGCCTGGGATAGCTTGAAATGTTGATCCTCAGGTCTCAGTCTCCCAAGTACCTAGAATTTTAGGCAAGAGCCACTGGCACTCAGCATATATATATGTATATATATATATATATATATACACACACATATATATATTCGACATTTATATGTATATATATATATATTCGACATTTATACGTATATATCTATATCTATATATCCATGTTGAAGGTCTTGGTTGAGAGAGAGGACTGTGGGTGGTATATTTGAGGAACTGCAAGGAATTAGTTGTGGCAAGAAAGCAAAGTGTGACTGGGAAATAGACTAGAAATAAATGATATAGGTGAAAATTAGCAGTCTGAGATCAAAGGCTTGCCCTTTATTTTAAATACACTAAGCCACTTTGGGGGTTTGTAGCAGGAAGATTGTAGCTAAGATGCTATCAGATTATTTACAATGAAACACACAGCCATAAAGCCGGCCCAAGCAATGGGTTGTAGCCATAATCACTGGTAACATCCCTCAATCTATTTCAGGTGAAGTTAAAAGAGTGTGCTTGGGGCTGGGAAGGTGGCTCAGTGGTAGAGCGCTTGCCTTGCATGCATGAGGCCCTGGGTTCCATTCCTTAGCACCACATAAGCAAAAAGAAAAAAGCCGGAAGTGGCGCTGTGGCTCAAGTGGTAGAGCACTAGCCTTGAGCTGAAGAGCTGAGGGACAACGCCCCACGACCAGACCCTCCCCCCCAAAAAAGAGTGTGCTTGTTTTACAAATTCAGTTTTGAGCTTACCCATCCCCTTTCAGTGTCAGCCAGTTGCATGGACTAATTTTTGAGGCAGACTTGAGTCCTTGAACAAAGCAGAAGGAATTAAGAGACAAATTCAACAGTGAATTTCTTCTATGTTGGTTGGTGGTAATTTGTAGACACAACAACTTTGTTCTTCTTTCTAGAACTACATTAAATGTGCTGAGAAACTATATAATGCCAAAGTAGCAAGAGCTGACTTTACGAATGATATAGAAGACACCACATACAAAATTAATAAATGGATTGAAAATGAGACACATGGTAAGTGCAATGCCTTGTTTTTCTACAAGATTTGTCAGTCATATATGAATATTTGGGACTGTCAACTCTAATGGTGAGAATTTTTGTACACCTAAAATGCAGCTGCTTCTAATCCAAAGGAATGATTACTATTAGGTAACGTTACTTTAGTATTTGTCTGCAGTATAAATTGAGTAATCAATGTTTGCAGAACTTTCTCATTTATCAAATTAACCTATTTGGCGATGGTATTGTACCTTTCAGACAAGGGACAATTATTTGTTTGTGAAATCATCTTTCCCATCTAACAACCTGATTCTAACCTTGTCCTGGTTACGCTTGAAAGAAAGAGGAAAATCTGTTCATCTTTTGTCTTGTTAATCAGCTGTTTTCAATGCTAGTTGTTATTTCTTTTTTTTGGGGGGGGGGTGTCCGGTCGTGGCTCCTGAACTCTGGGCCTGGGCACTGTCCCTCACCTCTTCAGCTCAAGGCTAGCGCTCTACCATTTGAGCCACAGCGCCACTTCCGGCTTTTTTTCTTTTTACTTATGTGGTGCTGGGGAATCAAACTCAGGGCCTCGTGCATGCAAGGCAAGCGCTCTACCACTGAGCCACCTTCCCAGCCCCTAGTTGTTATTTCTTTATGTCAAGATTGATTCTGAACATTGAGCTTAGTTGGGAAATAGGAGATGTAGAATTTATACTTTAGGTGCAAAAAATTAACAAGGTACACTTAGTCCTGGATGGTAAGAATACAGTATATTCAAAATCCTTTTTGTTCACTTTCCTTTCATCACATCACTGGTGGGTTACATTAGCCATTATGTTTCAAATATAGCACTTACGAAAAAACCCTCATAAAACTATTACTTTTGTAGCAACTGAATGGAATCTTAAGTAGTTTTTAAGGATATTAGATTACTAATACGGTTTCCTTTTGAACTAGTTTTACATTGTTTTCTCTCATGCAAGTCTATATATGATTATGATCATTTTGCTAAACATGCATAAAATGCTTATATGGAAGCAAAACTTAGCATTATTTTGGGGAGATCTCTCCACCCCCTTCTGCTATGGCTTTCCACTTAAGTAGACACTCCTATCCACACGTAAGAGTCTAAACTCTGCGTCCTCACCACTGACCAGCCGACACCCCTCTGAGCCAATGGTGTGTCACAATTGCTTTCTTGGTTGTTGAATCCTGCATGTTACACCATGAGCCTCAGTGATGGCATGAATTATGGCTTCGGCTTTTGCAATGCAAGCACCCTGTGTAGTGCAAGGCATCCAGCAAAGTCACATCCATCTAGAATCAGAAGGGCGGGATTAATGCTTTCAACCTGGTGGAGGTAAATGACATTGGACTGGCAGGTACCACAGGTAGCCTGGTCTAAGCAGTACCGGCAATCCTGGGCCTAGAAGCCCAGCTTGTGAGGCTGCCTGGGGAGGAATCCTAGTGCCATTGCTTTTTTGTTGTGATTGGATGAGTTACTTTATCTCTCTGCGCCTCCATTTCCTCAACAGAATGTGGTAAGAGTGCCTCAGAAATCTTATGAGGCTTAAAGAATTTAGATACATTCATTGCTTACTAATAGTACCATCATTAGTATAACTATCGTGTGGTTAAGAATAAAAACTCATGCCCATTAATGGCTTTTGGAAATATATATATATATATATATATAATATATATACACATATATCTTTTGAAATGTATGTAAAGAAATGACTTCTTTCCTTCAATTTTTGTTTCAAAAGGGAAAATAAGGAAGGTGTTTAGTGACAGCAGCATTAGCTCGTCTGCGGTCATGGTGCTGGTCAATGCTGTTTACTTCAAAGGCAAGTGGGAGTCGGCCTTCACCAAGAGTGAAACAGTCAAGTGCCGATTCCGATCTCCCCAGGTATGTGGGAGTTCTGCTCTGCAGGCACTTGTGATCTTTACACAGGCAAAATAACGACCTCACCATTTCTTCCTGTCCTTTGTGTCACCTCTCCTGGAGTAATGCACTAGCCCCATCTTTTCTCCTTCTGTTTAGTCCTCCCTCCTGCCCTTCTTCCACTCTTCCCTGCCTGCCTTCCTTCCTTTCCTTCCTTCCTTCTTTCCTTCCTTCCTTCCTTCCTTCTTCCCTTCCTGCCTTCCTGCCTGCCTGCCTGCCTTCCTTTCCTCCCTCCTTATTGCCTTCTCTTCCCTTTTCTCGCCTTCCTGCCTTCCTATCTGCCTTCCTTTCCTCCCTCCTTATTGCTTTCTCTTCCCTTTTCTCCCCTTCATCTCCTCCTCTCTCCTTCCTGCCTTCTTTCTTTCTTTTCTTCCTTTTCCCCTCCTTCCCTTCTTCCTCTTCCCTCCCCTCAACTTCTTTTCCATCTCCTTCTCACTCCTCCTCTCTTTCTTACCTTCTCTGTTTCATATTTTCATTTCTTCTTTCATTCCCTTCCGCCCTCCTTTTATTTCCCTTCCTTCTCTTCTCCTTCCATCTCTTATCCTCTCCCCTTCCTTCCTTCCTTCCTTCCTTCCTTCCTTCCTTCCTTCCTTCCTTCCTTCCTAGCACACATACACAACATGAATGATGAGGCACTCCTGTAATCCCAGCTATATATAAGGAAGATGTATGAGAAATAAAACACTTGATGTGCTCTAAGTGTTCTACTTCTTGAAGCACTTGGTTAGTTATTTAATTAATGTATTTATTTTACTATCCTAGTTCTTATTTTACATCTTATTTTATTTTGCCAATTTGGGGTTTGAACTCAGAGTCTTGCACTTGCATGACTTGCTTGTTTGGCTGGTGCTTTATCACTTGAGCTAGGCCTCTGGCCTGGATTTTTGCTATTTTTGGAGATAGAATCTCCTAGATTGTTCTTTTGTGGTTGGTTTCAAACTGCAATCCTTCTAGTCTCAGCCTCTCTAGTAGCTAATATTCTAAATGTGAGCCACCAGCATCCTGTATTTTGTCACTTATTATAAGGACATTTTCAATTAAAACCCTAAGTGTGAGGCAATGTTCCAACAACTGGACATATTAACACCCCCCCATCCTCACACTCTTCTGCAGAGGGGAACTGCACCCCCCTCCAGACATAGAACGGGGGCAGGTGGAGGCACATAGTGACCATAGTGATCCATAGTAACCACATATCAGAAGAAATCGACAGGACTCCGTGACCAAGAGCACGGGAAAATACTGCCCCTGGTGGGCCAGTCAAATGAAATGGGATTCTCAGTAACTGTCTGTGGTCTGACTTGCAGTGCTCCGGGAAGGCGGTTGCTATGATGCACCAGGAGCGGAGGTTCAATCTATCTGCTGTTCAGGATCCGCCCATGCAAGTTCTTCAGCTCAGATATAATGGTGGCATCAGCATGTACGTACTGCTGCCCGAGGAGGACGTGTCTCAGGTGAGTTCCCACTGTCCTTTCCAGTGCTGGGAAGAAAAGGGACTTGCCATATGCCAGGCATTCCATGTATATTACTTTGTGGTAACACATGATTGTATTTTAGTATATTCTTGGAGGAGACAAGTGATAAAGGAAAAGGAAACGGATGGAACTTAGGTAATAGATCTGGTAGATACAAGTAACCCAACATGTATCTGTGAGTATGCAGGCAAATACACACATGCATTTCAGTTACACTAAAAGTTACAAATATAATTAAAATGTTGACTGGATTGTGATCTGGAAAATAAGGAAATGCTAGTATAGAACAATTTGGAAATGCAAAGAACATAAAGAAATAAATGCTTCTGCTAACCAAGGGCATTATTTCTACCCAGGTTTTTCCTATGTTTTGAAAATATATCTTTAAAGATTTTAAATTTACTTTAGTTTTGTGGTTGCTTGTTTTGCTTGCAGGACCTCATACTTTCTAGGCAGGTAGTATACCTCCAACCCATTTTGCTTTGAGTATTTGTGAGAAGGCTCCACCCCCTCCTCCCCTGTCCAGCTTAGAATATGATCTTCCTATTTATACTTTCTGCATAACTGATAAGATAAGCAAATGAAAAAAACAACCAGGCTTTTCTGCTATTAGCTGTATGCCCCAGGAATCACTTTGCACATTCTCTTGATTTTCAATGTCTCATCTGTTGAGTAGAAGACTCAATTTGAATCCAAGCTTTCTGATGAATATGATTAAGAAACATGAATATGTTAAGAAATATTGATCTCCTAAACTCTACCGCTGGGGTTCTGGGTCATTTTCCTCAGTCTATCTGGCTTTTCATAGCTTACTCCTGTCAACTGTACAGACATGACTACTTTCTGTGTATTTTATGATGGGTAAAATGGTTAGAAAGCACCGATTTAAATAATCACTGAGCTCCTTTTGCTCTTTGATGATCTCTGATTCCTATATTCTTTTGCCAACTAACAATAATAATATGACTTTGTCTGAATCTGTTCATATGTATGAGGAGAAGAGATATGTCCTAAAGGGCAAATGAATCATGCTTCAGTATCCAAGAGTAAATTAAATATGTGATTCATTACAAACCACTCAAGCTAGTTACTGAAATAATGTCTCACAATTTTGAGGAGGAGGATATTATGGAAAATCGTGTGTGTGTGTGTGTGTGTGTGTGTGTGTGTGTGTGTGTATGTATGTGTGTGTCTGTGTGTATTTGCCAGTCCTGGAGCTTGAACTCAGGGCCTGAGCACTGTCCTTGAGCTTCTTTTGCTCAAGGCTAGCACTCTACCACTTGAGCCACAGCACCACTTGCAGCTTTTTCTGTTTATGTGGTGCTGAGGAGTTGAACCCAGGGCCTTGTGTATGCTAGGCAAGCACTCTACCACCGAGCCACCTTCCCAGCCCCTGGAAAACCATATTTTTTTGTAGTTTTTGTTTCATTTTTTTTCTTTCCCATGTGATTCTAAATTACCTTCTGCTTCTCCCTACAGATTGAAAAGAAACTGAGTTTTCGGAATCTAATGAACTGGACCAATCCAAGGAAGATGACTTCCCAGTATGTGGAAGTGTTTCTTCCTCAGTTCAAGATAGAGAAGAATTATGAAATGAAACGCTATTTGCAAGCCCTTGGGCTGAAAGATATATTTGAAGAATCCAAAGCTGATCTTTCCGGAATAGCTTCAGGAGGTCGTCTTTACATCTCAAAACTAATGCACAAGTCGTACATAGAGGTCAGTGAAGATGGCACGGAGGCCACGGCCGCCACGGAAAACAACATCGTGGAGAAGCAACTCCCGGAGTCCACTGTGTTCAGAGTGGACCACCCTTTCATGTTTGTCATCAGGAAGAATGACATCATCTTATTTATTGGTAAAGTCTCTTGCCCTTGAAAACCCCAATTGGTTTCTATTAATCTCTGTCACACACAAGACACAGAAGCAATTTGTTTCATTAAAAAGTCCATGGTGTTGCCTTGGTGTTTATTTCTTCCTAACATGGGTCATCAGATGATATTGGTGACTTGACTTCTCAGCGGCCCTTGGTTGATGGGCTTGGTCTTTGCTTCTCGAATGTCTACTCTGCTTTGCATCATCTGTTTCTAATTTCTTTGACTTTTTAACCCACCATCGTTGAGACTATTTTATCCCATGTTCTGTCTGAGAATTATTGAGCTTGGTGTACTAGTAATGAGACTGTAGAGGTGGCCCTGGCAATGACATTTGACTTCTACTGTTATTGAAGACATTCTAACTTCATCATAAATTATCAAGGAAATAAGCCCTACTGCTTTTTAAATGTAAATGTGAAGGATATCACATTTATTTCCTTGCTGACTTAAGAAGACATACAAGTTCATTTGAATACATTTGATTCTTTTAAACTCAGTGCATAATCTATGTTTTAAGAAAATATAAAAGATTGAGGACCAACCAAAATGTTTTATTAATAATGTTAGGTCAAAATCCTTTGGGCCATCCTTGATAAGACTTAATATGTACATAGTTTTTCAAATATTAAGTACCTCTCAACTGTTGGTAGTTGTTGTTTATATTAGTTCATATGCTCTAAAAATTACAAGTTTTCCTGTTTATCGTAATAAAGAAATACAATGTATGTCTTCAGTGTGATTGCACTCCTCTGACTGATTTTGAGCATGTATTTTCTATATGAAGCAAGCAATACAGGGAAAGAATGATTTTGTAACTTTAAGTCTGATTTGCTTCGATGTGGCTAATTTGGTTTTACACAGGAAATTACTCAAATCCTTGTACAAGGATTTGAGTTTATAAGGGAAAATATTCGCAGATATACATATTTATAGGAAGTCACAAGCTATTTTTACAGATGTGCAGAAAATATATTGAGGTCAGTAGACTATGCTGAACTTACTTATGAATTTATAAGCAATAGCACCTCATAGGTTTATATTTGATTCATAAAATGCTTTTCTTGAAAAGCATTTTCCTGAGAACTGTGGAAGTTAGTGGTAGCTTACAATGCTCAGCAGTGGACCTGGAAGATACTTGATTTTTTTTCAGCAAGTGTTGTGGAATTCACCAATATGGTATAAATGAGTAAATGTGTCACAATATAAAAGATGCAGAAAGTCTCCTGACCAAACAATTCTATAGTATATGACTATTGTATGCCATAATCTGTGATACCTATTCTGCCTTGGTGGGAACTTGGTAGGATAAATCTAACTGGTCTGCAGTGCTTTGCTTGGAGGGAGAACTTGATCATCCTGGTTACTATTCCTATCTATGACTCTTCAAAACCAGTGTAGCCTCCAGGGAAGTGGGGACAGGAGCATGTATTCTGATGGCAACAATAAAGTTCTGCTGACAGGATTCTCCAGGTAGCTACGGGGAGATTCAAAGCCTCCAAGGTTTGCTGTGAGCACCGGAAGGTGTGAAAGTGGGGGAAATGACATGGGTAACTGGCCAGCTTAAACTTTTATAATGGAATAACTTTGACCAGGTGATATGTTTTTTAAATAATAGAACTTTTTGCTCACAGCTCTAGAAGCTAGGGAGCTCAAATCAAGAGACAAGTGGATCCAGAGGCTGATGAGAAACCCTCTCCTCAGGGAGCATCTTTCTGCTGTTTCCTTCCATGACTGGAGCTGCACAAGCCACAAGGCAGCTCCCTGCCATCTCTTTTACACCAGCACTGATCCTGTTCATACGGGTGGAGGTCCTGGGGTCTAGTCACCTCCGAAGAGCCCATTATTGCATGGAGGGTTTAAGTTCCAGTGCATGGATTTGGGATGGGCATTAGACCAGAGCAATATAGATAAACTCAATATAAACATTCCCCACACTTTTGACAGGTTGATGTCTTCATTGTGTTTGCCTCATGTTTAAAGAGTTCCATTCCATTCATGGAAGGTCTACATGTGTTATTCTCACCTAGTCTTGGTTTGGGGGATGTCGCACAAGGCTGACACAGCTCCTGAAAATGTGACCCACATGGAGCAAGTTTTCATCTCAGTGGTGGCAAAGGCAATAGCTGTGTAGCTCTTTCCATTGAACCACATTTATGTTGGGTTTGTTTTTGTATTCCCACATCCCTAAAACAACCTGACACATCAGAGACCCTCTGAATATCTTTAAAAATTAATATAATTGTTACTCCATAGGATTTGATTTGGAAAGGAAGGAACGCTCAGGGGTCGTTGAAGTTGCTGACCCTGTAATGAAGTTGTTTTTACATAAAGATGACTTCAAAAATCTTTTCTTGCTTATTAATTGGGTATTAACTGTAGGGCTCTCTTACTCAAATGATTTCAGTCTGTCATATCGCTTTAATAATTGCAGAGCCAGCAATATATTTAAGTAACTTTATCTAAATTCAAGAAGCTTATAAATCCAATAAAGCTAAACATTTCTAAGGTGGAACACATCAGCGTCCTCTTCATGCCCACTACACTTTCTTGAGTGCTCACTTTTAGTGACATATTCTCTAAAGTTCAAGTATAAAGCAGCAATCCCAGTTTTGTGCTTCCCTTATTTATACTGGAAATGTGTGTGTTGAATATCCCCGCCCTTCTACAGGACCAGGAAGAAGTGGTTTTCATTGCTCTTTTCATGCAGAGAAAAGACCTTCTGCCATCATTGTCACCTTCATTGCCATCATCATCATTAGTCCTGCTTCATCAAGGATAAAACATTTGCACATTTTTCATCCCAATGGTCACTAAAGCTTGTGTTCATTATTGTCATTTACACTTTATAAGAAAAGTGAAGATCAGAGAGGTTAGCAACTGCCCCAGATCCTGTGTGCTCTTTCCATTAGAGCATGCTGTCACAAACTTTATAACAGATATCACTTCTAGACTGGCAATGTTCAGAGGCCTTTTGTGTCTCCCCACCTCACATAGCTCCCTCCTACCTTGGCATGATTACTGACTGACCAATTCACTCTACTGATCTCAGACTTTCCTGGAATACCACACCTCTTATAAACTTGAGCAAGTCTGTAATTACATAACAATATGTTCTTAAGTTTAGGTTGTTTATACTTTTAGATGATTTCATTGGCTTGGTATTCTTTATTACAATAAATTTCTGAGAGTTTATATAATCATGATCTCAATAGTAAAAATCTAAGAAGTACTTCTGAGGATTAATTCTGACAGAAGGGACACTTATTCTCTGTTCCAATGATAATTCTTCTCCAGAATTTTCCATATATATTTACAGAAGAACACATTCTACTCATCAAGAAAGAGAGCTAGTAGTATATGTATCTTTATCCAACTGATTATTGTTTGTTTGTTGCAGTAATGAGGTTTAAACTGAGAGGTTTCTGCTTGCTAGCCACATGCTCTACCACCTGAGCTACAGCCTCAGCCCTTTTTCTATTTAGTTATTTGGGAATAGGATCTGTCTCTCCCCTCTCCCCATCCCAGGTCAGCTGGTCTACTTGGACTTTGATTCTCCTGTTTATGTCTTCCACATAGCTGGCTTGACAGGCTCTCACCCCAGGTACTCTTCCTGTTTATTGGTTGAGATGAACTGAGGTCTTAGTAATATTTTTGTCTTACTGGCAAACTGTGATTCTACTGATTTATAAGCATAAGGAGATGCCTTTTCTTCCTGAGGTTCTGAAAGGAGAAAGAGACTCCTTATGGTAAGATCACATAAAATGGAAAACTTATAGTTGCTAGGTGTGGGTTGGAATATTAATGAGAAAGTCATAATTCTTTTCAAAGCTATTAATTTTTTGGAGCTATTAATTAATGTCTTGCCAATACCCAAAGGTCTTATTAGCAACTCTCCCAGTCTAGAGGTGTGATTCTAATAAAACGGCTTTGGGAATTCCTACACGTAAAAGGATCAGCTGAAATAACTTGACTGGCTGATGTTCCTTAGAGACCTGAAAACCAGAAATCATACAACTTACTTGAAAAGCTATGGCTCTCCTCACAGAAGTAAGAGCCTCTGAGATGCAGCGTTCCCTGTTGAGCCTATTGGCGAATGACTAGGACATCATGTAAGTAGGAAGGCATGGGTGAAATGAAAGAAGTAGAGCCAGCTGTGGTTTGTGTCTCAAGGAGTTAGATGTAAATATAAGGATGCATTGCTATTTCTGAGAACTTGTGAGACAAGGGCCCCCCCCTTGGCCCCTAAACACAACTTAAAGCATTTCCTTCCATTTGGTTTTATGTGTGAGTTGGGAGAAGGGTGGTAAGAGGAGGTTGCTCACTTCTTCACTTCCACTCTGGAAGTTTCCCTTTTTGGTTACTGATCCACTGCTACTCACTCAGTGCTTGTTGGTTTGTGGTCTCCTTAGTGTACCCCTGGGGCAGCAGGCGGGATACCCCTGTGCCTGCCATGGAGGGACAAGTAACTCACTGAGCTCTGCATTGGTGATAGATATCAGGGGGACTCAGGTATTCTTTTTAAAAAAAAAAAACACCATTATTGTTATTGTAAAGGTGTTGTAGAGAGAGGTTACAGTTATATAAGTTGGGTAATGAGTCCATTTCTTTTTGAACAGTGTGACTCCTTCCCTTCTCTCTCCCAGTTTCTCCCTCCCATCCACACCCACAAGTTCTATAGTTCATTTTAGCATAGTGTCTAGTGAGTATCACTGCTGCATTTGTTCACCTTTTTCCTTGCATTTCTGTGCCCCTCATGCCCTCCTCAAAACAGATAAATAAGCAAAATGAAAGGAAATGAAAACAAAAACAGCAACAAAGAGAATAAAAAATCTCTTTTTTTCATTTCCTTGAGTTGATTTTGATAAATACCATTTATGTAGTCAGGTGCAGATGGCTATTGCTCCTTTGTGACTCTTAAGAATATCCCCCTTCATCTCACTCTGTGTGAGTGCCTAGAGCTTTGTGTAATGTATTATGTCCCAGTTCCTCAAAGGACTAAAC